GGATGTTATCGATTTTGATGAACTTTTTGGGTGCTTGTCTGTGGCCGTCCTCATCGGACACTTCCGCTGATTCCAAAGGCAAGCAAGAAGGCCTTCTCTGGTACAAAGACTCTGCTCAACACCTCCTTGGTGAATTCTCCATGGCCGTTGTACAGGCCAACAATCTCCTCGAGGATCAGAGCCAAGTCGAGTCTGGTCCTTTGACCACCCTTCACTCTGGTGGCCCTTATGGCACTTTTGTTGGTATCTACGACGGCCATGGCGGCCCTGAGACCTCCCGTTTCGTTAACGATCATCTCTTTCACCATCTCAAGAGTAACCAACTCATCTTTCATTGATTGCTTCACCCATCTTTTTCCAACAAAAACTAACCCCTCCGCAGGATTCGCAGCGGAGCAGGATTCCATGTCAGTGGAGGTCATAAGAAAGGCATACGAGGCGACCGAAGAAGGGTTTCTTGGGGTCGTGGCTAAGCAGTGGGCCGTGAAGCCGCATATAGCAGCGGTTGGCTCATGCTGCCTTGTGGGTGTGGTGTGCGACGGGAGGCTCTACGTGGCTAACGTTGGGGATTCCCGGGCGGTTCTGGGAAAAGTTATGAAGGCCACCGGTGAGGTTATTGCGCTTCAGCTCTCTGCAGAACATAATGTGAGCATAGAGTCTGTTAGGCAGGAAATGCACTCCTTGCACCCTGATGACTCCCATATCGTTGTCCTAAAGCACAATGTGTGGCGTGTTAAGGGCCTTATTCAGGTCTCTTTCTACATCCGACTCTATATACATACAAGTTTAGATTTCCATCTCTCTCTGCTACTTGTGTGGAAACAAACCTGACAAGAGTAGGACATTATTGTTGGAGACTTGCGCGCCAAATGTCATCTCTTGGAAGCCTAGTTATCATTTGTTCCTTTGTGCGTGTTTGCAGATATCAAGATCCATAGGAGACGTGTACCTTAAGAAAGCAGAATTCAACAAGGAACCTTTGTACACAAAGTACCGACTGCGAGAGCCAATGAAAAGACCAATATTGAGTGGAGAACCGTCGATAACGGTGCATGATCTCCAACCAGACGATCAGTTTCTGATATTTGCATCAGACGGACTATGGGAGCAGCTGAGCAACCAAGAGGCTGTTGAAATCGTTGAGAACCACCCGAGAAATGTATGAGACACAATCCGTATTAGCTATGACTGAGTTTCCTTAAGATAAATAATAAACAAAGTGAGAGAATGTTTGTTGATGCAGGGGATAGCAAGGAGACTGGTGAAGGCGGCGCTGCAGGAGGCAGCAAAGAAAAGAGAAATGAGATACTCTGATCTCAACAAGATTGAGAGAGGTGTGAGAAGGCATTTCCACGACGACATCACCGTGGTCGTCCTCTTCCTGGACACCAATCTGGTCAGCAGAGCCTCCTCTTCTCTCAAAACCCCTTCTGTTTCTATCCGTGGTGGTGGCATCACTTTACCCAAGAAACTCTAAAACCAGATTCCATCCATCCATCCTGTAGTTATATATTTATTCAATCCTTCTTTTTTTCTTTCTCTGTTCAATATCTTTTGGGTTCACTTTTCTGGTATAAGAAATGTATAATGTTAAACAGGAGCTACTGACTTGTTGAGTCTCATACCATTATTTTTTCCTCGGACTTGTTCATGTAAAATGTATTATCTCTCTTCTTCTTGGTTCTTATGAATGTTAGAGAACTGCTTTCGACTGTAGCAATGATATGTAAGGCAAACTTTTGTACAAATGGATTTAAGGCAAAGCCAAGAATCAGTAACAACATAACATAAATAATCAGGATCTCCAAGAGATGAGTAAAGTGACAATGATTAATGCATCAAAATCTGTATCGTGTGATCTAAATAATCAAGGAACACTAGTAGTAT